TTTTGTCTTTTTTGTTATTGATTTGTTTTTGTTTTGAATCCTCACTCGTTTTTTTTAATTGTCGATTTCTGTTAGGTCTTTTGTTGTTTAGAGTCGTTTTTCGTTGTTTTTTTATCGCTATTTTTAATCATTGATACATTCACCTACGTCTCAAATCATTATCATCACCTCATCTTCGCCACATCCACCTCATCATCATTACCATATTCACACCCTCACCTTCATCATTAACACACGTACTTCACCACAACCACCTTCATCATCATCACATCCAACTCCCGATCATAACCACATGTATTCACCACCCTCAAATACCCACTTCCTCAACCATCCCAGTATCCACCCACACCCACACAGATTTAGAAACCACTCAGCACCCACCCAAACCCAACCCAACATCCACTTTAGATCCTTCCTCCACCCCCAGACACACCCACACAGACCTAGACATTACTCATCACCGACCCAAATGCAACTCCACGACCATAGACCCCGCAACCCACCACTTTAGCATCCACAATACCTCCTCCACCATCCCCACATCCCCCGACACACCCACACAGACCTAGACATTACCCATCACCCACCCAAATCAACCCCATCCACTTTAGCATCCACATATACCCACCTCCTCCACCATCCCCACATCCACCCGACGACACCCACACAGACCTAGACATTACCATACAACCCAACATCCACTTTGCATCCACAAATACCCAGACACCCACACAGACCTAGACATTACTATCACCGACCCAAATGCATCGACGACACCCACACAGACCTAGACATTACCCATCACCGACCCAAATGCAACCCAACATCCACTTTAGCATCCACAAATACCCACCTCCTCCACCATCCCCACATCCACCCCGACCACACCCACACAGACCTAGACATTACTCATCACCGACCCAAATGCAACCCGACATCCACTTTAGCATCCACACGACATCCTCGGGAAAGCCAGTGAGGAGGTCGGAAGCGGATGCCTCAAGAATAGCATCGCCGTGATTCTTGTTCTTGTTTTTGTCTTGTTTTTGTCGGGGTTTCACGTGGGGGGGGGGATTCCTCAAGGGTGTGTGGGTTGGGATTCTAATATGGTTTGGGAGAAACTTAGGATGAGGGAGACGGAGAGGGAGAAGATGAGGGGGAGGGAGAAAGGAGAGAGAGAGGAGAGAGAGGAGGAGGAGGAGGAGGAGGAGAAGAAGAAGAAGAAGAAGAGAAGAGAAGAAGAAGGGAAGAGGGAGGAGGACGAAGACGAGACGACGACGAGGAGAGTAGAGAGAGAGAGAAGAGGGGGGGAGAGAAGCAGAGAAGGAGGAAGGGAAGGCATGGAAGAGGATTGGGGGGGGGGAGACCACAAATCACACCCACTCTCTGGCTACGCCCATATGTGATAGCGAAGCGGTTGACGGTTTCCTATCATGCATAAATAATAGAACGTTGAACCTCTGATTTGAGTCCTTAGAAAAAAGTAGGTTACTTACCCGTGTAATAGTTCGGACTGAGGAATAAATGCATACATATGTTCGTGTGTGTATATGTGTGTGTGTGTTTGAGTGTATGTGTGTGTTTGTTTGAGTCTATGTGTGTATGTGTGTACGTGTGTATGTTTATCTGTTTAGGTGTATGTGTGTGTGCGTGTGTGTTTGTTTGGGTATATATGTGTGTGTGCGTGCGTGTGTGTATGTGTGCGTGTGTTGTTTGTTTGAGTGTATGTGTGTGTGTGCGTGTTCGTGTGTGTGCGTCTGTGTGCGTGCGTGCGTGTGTGTGTGTGTTCGTGCGTCCGTGTGTGTGTAATACCCGTGTATACACTCGTACACATGCATACGAGGATACCAAGCCCCGGAACTAGTATGAACCGAATAAACCCCATTTGAACCTGAAGAACCGAAAACGAGTTATCCTAAGGTCACTTTTTGTCTTGATTTCGTTTCAGTCCAAGAGGTTCTTGTGTTAAGCTGATATAATATTTCACAATTTGTATAATCATCTATACACGACAGATTTTTTTTCCATTTCCTCTGTTTTTTTCAAAATGCCCAACGTCCCGAATTTCGCTAAACACTTACATCATTAATATTTCAAGCATAACATAAATATGATTTATATAATAAAAATTCATGTTATATATAATTTTAATATAATTTCAGCCCAAGTTCAAGGTATTATGCATCCGTATACACGACTTTGGGAAAAAAGTATCTGATCGATGTTCTCTGAAAGCACGTGGTGAGACATTCCCAAATGCCAGTTACATGTATATAAAAAATCGCCCTTTACAGAGAGAGAGAGAGAGAGAGAGAGAGAGAGAGAGAGAGAGAGAGAGAGAGAGAGAGAGAGAGAGAGAGAGAGAGAGAGAGAGAGAGAGAGAGAGAGAGAGAGAACAAGAAACAAAGGAAAGGCAGTATAAAATAGGATAGAGGGGTAGATAGTAAATATCCAAACTACCGTTCTCTCGATAAGTAAAACAATCAAGGCATTACTTCACAAAAAACAAAAACAAAAGCACGAACCTTTAAACCAGAAAGACAACAACAAAGGTAAAAGGAGGAGCGAGGTGACACAAAATCAAGCCGGGCCGGACGAGTGCACCGTACTCGGGTCCTTCAGCGAATTATAAACGTACCTGGGCGCCTCCGGTCTCGTTGGCTCCTCCCACTTCGGCTAAGCTCCTCCCTCTTTTTTCGGTAAGTTCTGCTTCCTTCTGCTTCCTTCGATTCCAGTTGTCTCAGTTTCTCTAGACTTTCGTCCTTCGTTGAGTTGGTTTTCTTTCTCTTTGTCTCTCATTGCCCCCCCCCTCTCTCTCTCTCTCTCTCTCTCTCTCTCTCTCTCTCTCTCTCTCTCTCTCTCTCTCTCCCCTACCGTAAATATGAGCAACTGTGTGTGTTACCATTTCTTTTTCCTATGTATTATTCGTCTTTCATTTGTATTGCCCACCCGTTCGTTCATATGAAAGTTAGCACATGCAAAGACTATATAATTTCTGAATATCTATCATTGTCTCCCAAACTGTTGCTCTGTTGCTGTAGGGTCATCAGTACGAATGTATAAAGTTTTGTCCCATGTGACGATTGATCCAAGGATATTATGAACCTGACAATCTGGTTTTCACTCTACACCTATGGCCCTCAACTTTTAAATCTTTTCTCCTTCAAATCTATTGTAATTTAACACGTCGAGTTTGTTTATAGCAAACTTTTCCCGTTTTTCTAATGACAAAAGCATGGAAATGATATGAAATTAAATATATCAATAAAACTTTAATGGAAAAGTGAGATTTGGCCTCAATCAGTCTTATCGTTAATAGTTTTATACTTTATACCGGCGTCTAGACACATTAATTCTCTTTAACAGACCCCCAATTCTACCTTTGTAGACTCTTAGGCTGGGGCATCGTTGACCTGCCCGTCATGGTAGGGAAGTGACGCAACCTACGGGATTCCTCGCCACACTTCGAGTCCATAGAAACGAAGACTCTGCCACGGCATTCAGGGAGGCGGGGAGGACACCCTCATTAGCTTCTAGAACTTTTATAGATTGTATACACACACACACACACACACACACACACACACACACACACACACACACACACACATATATATATATATATATTATATATATATATATATATATATATATATATATATATATATATGTATGTATGTATATATTTGTGTGTGTGTTTGTGAGTGCGTGTGTAGATAAATGCAGGAATAAACACACACATACATACATATACACAAACGCATACACACACACACATATATATATACACACACACACTCATACACACACATCTATCTATCTATCTATCTGTCTATCTATCTATCTATCTATCTATCTATCTATCTATCTATCTATCTATCTATATATATATATATATATATATTATATATATATATATATATATATATATAGACACAAGCATACACACACACACGTACGTGTGTTTTTGAACAAATATATATACACACACTTGTATGAATATATGTGCGTGTGTGTCTTTATTTCTCTCTCTCTTTCTCCCTGTTTCTCAGTCAGAAGGATCTATGCATTCACAGCACCGTGTAACTTTGGATAGAAAGGAAAAACAAAAAACATCTTTAGTAAGCTATATGCCAAATATATTTTTTTCCCGTTACAGTCAATAAATGATTACATACAATTTCGGTGTTATCTCTCAAAACGTAAACACATCACACAAACGTTAGCACTTCTCCAAAGAATTTAGGATTACAGCGTCAAAAGGTTTAGCCACATGTTAATCTATCTGCCAAGTTGTTCCAATCAAACTCAGGTCATTTTTATTTTACGTCTGAAGTTTGTTGAAATCATCAGATTCGCCGGAAGTTTTATTTTCTCTCTCTCTCTCTTTTTTCATTTTTTTTTTTCTTTAGCAGCATACATAGCCATTTCCTCTCCTGCAGTATAATTTGCAGTCCTGGCCCCCTTGTCCTTGTCCAAATCCGCTTTGGCCAAAACTGCCACCTTGTCCAAATCCACCTCCTTGCTGACCAAAACCACCACCCTGCTGACCGAATCCACCTCCTTGCTGACCGAATCTCCTTGACCGAATCCACCTTGCTGACGAATCGCTGTCCAATCCACCCGAATCCACCTTGCTGACGAATCCACCTCCCTGCTGACCGCTGACTGAATCCACCTCCTTGCTGTCCAAATCCACCTTGCTGACGAATCCACCTCCACAAGCTGACCGAATCCACTTCCTTGCTGACCGAATCCACCACCGAATCCACCTCCTGTCCAACCCACCTGCTGACCGAATCCACCTCCCACCGAATCCACCTCCTTGCTGTCCAAATCCACCTTGCTGACCGAATCCACGACCGAATCCACCTCCCTGCTGTCCAAATCCACCTCCCTGCTGACCGAATCCACCTCCAGAAGGCCTATTCGGTCTGTTAGGTCTATTCGGCTTCCCCGCCGACGACCCGCCTCCTCCCGACTGCCCCCCGACTGCTTGTTGGAACAGCGCCTGTAACCCCTGGAAACAAAAACAAATAATAACACCTATACACTTATACCTCACTGAATACACACAAACCCACACAATCCACTATTGGATGATGTGGACGAGAAGTTCTGCTTTTTTAATTTCATTAGTAAAATCGGTTATATAGGCATTGGCTCTTGGGATTAAATTGATTTCCATATGAATAATTGTTTTATTATTTTCTTACCGAAAAATCCTGAGCGCAGGTGGTGGCGAAGACCGCCGCTAAGAGAATTAGAGTTAGCTTCATTTTCTTTCTGGAAGAGTAAAAAATAGATGTAAACACACTTATATCCTGTGACCTATGAAAGTAAAATTCGTATTCTTTTAAGATTTCAGTATTTGTAATCTAATTGGCAGATAAAAAAGGGGGAAAAAAAGATTTGCCACCCAAAGATTCAGATGGTCATCTTAATAACGATGATGATGATAGTGATAAGTGGCCTATGTTTCCCCCCCTCCTCTTTTTTTTTTTCTCTTTAAACCTCCTTCCCTTCTATTTCTCCCTCTCTCCCTTCCTTTCCTATCCCTCCTTCCTTCTGCCCCTCCCTCCACCTTGGATAGTCGTGTAAATAGTGTGTGCATAAATTGACGTTTTAACTACTCCAGCGTGGTGTCCTTGCCTGAAAAAAATATATAATCATAATTATGATGATAATGATAACAATAATGATAATGATGATATTAATAATTAATAATAACTATAATGAAAATAACAAAATAAACCATAAGAAATCAGGAAAATGACAATGATAACTATAATGATAATGGCAATAATAGAGTTAAAATGAGATTCTCAAAACCCGTTTTTTTATCTATTTTTTTTTTTTTTTTTTTTTAGCATCATCTCATTTCAAACCGCTATGGATTGACATCAACTCCGCACTCACATGGACTATTATTCCGGGAATAAGATTATTACTTTCCATCAGTATGAAGAAACTTGTAAGTATATATGTAAATGGAATTTTTTTCAGGCGTAAAACATAAGCATAACGAACAGACAGACGACAGACAAGCAGATTAGAGATAATGATGATTATATCTGACGAGAATAGTGCTACTACTCCTAAATATGCAATTAGTAATGATGGCAACGGCAATCACTAATATTGCAATTACCAACAACAAAAGTTACTTTTCTAAACTTTTTCTTCTTTGTATTGAAGTACATGCACACACCCAAACAAATAAACAAATAAAATACCCCTACAAAAATATATAGAAAAAAATAAATAGACAGAAAGTCGTCGTTATAGCAGTAAGTAGGGATCGAGTCTGTACTAAATATGATAAGAACTTTAAATAATTTTGGGTAGGACCGCCGGGCAAGTAATTTTTCACATGCATTTTTGGTTGGTAAGACGTTTGTACATGTTCGATATTTTGCAAACTGGCAACCTCATCGTACGGCGTTCATTCCGACAGAAAAATCCTTTTGTTGATGCCTATTAGATGACCTTGCGAATTAGAATAACAATAACCTTTTCAAACTTTCAGACGAATTCATTCATCTAGGTGATAAGAGTTAGAAAAAATAATAGATGACATAAACATGGTTCCCAAACTGCAAGAACTGTTCCGAAGGTCTTCCAGCCTAGGGCACTGCGGGCGGGAGAAGCCAAACGAGTTTAGTTACTAGACGGAGGTGGGGGTGGGGGGTGCTGGATGGTGGCAGGGGACTGAAGGGGGCCTGGATGGAGGCAGGATGCCAGGGGAGGCTGAAGGGAAGGGATGGGGGAGGGAAGGGAGGGGTGGCACAGTGCAGTAGATACGTAGTTCTTTCCGATTTTATGCAATGTGGTATTTGTGAAGCTGGGAGGGTATTGGTACGTGCGTGTTTGTACGTGCGTGCGTGCGGCTCGCTTGCTCTTCAGTTTCTTCTCTTCTTTTTCTTCTCTGTCTCTCTCTTACTAATTCTCTCTCTCATTCACTCACTCTCACTGACTTTCCCTCTCTTTTCATCCCTTTTGTTTCCCCATAACAAAATACAAGTCATGATACCTGAACCCTAGACTACTTGTTTCTGCTAATTCCAAGGAAAATCGAAATTATAAGGAACCTCAGCAAGGTACAAGGCAATGTTTCGTAGGGGGGGGGTGCAGTAGATACGTCCTGACTATATGCAGTGTGGTTTGTGTGGAAGGGAGGGATTTCAATGCGTTTCTCTCTCTCTTTCTATCGAGCTATCAACGTATCCTATTATATATCTATTTGATTATCTTTTCATCTAATTATCTATCTGTTTGTCAGTTTGTATGTCTGTCTCTCTCTATATATAAGGCAAAGGTTGGTTGGGTGGGTGGGTGGGGGGGGGGGTACAGTATACAGATGCGTCCTGACAATACTGTATGCACTGAGTGGTTTGTGTGGGAGGGAGAAGTCTCAGTGCAACTCTCTCTCTCTTTCTCTTTCTCATTCCTCCTTTCTCTCCCTATCTCCCTCTTCCTATTCCTCTTCCCTCCCCTCCCTTCTCCCTCTCACCCAGCGATACACCCGGGGAAAAAATATGACATTCACCCTGGACTTCCCTCCTTGCCGAACGGAAGACCCTGGAGTTCCCCATCCGTTAATGGTAAAAGAGCAAAAAATGGGACAGCTTTTGGGAGGAAGGTCAGTGAGATTCAAGGTAAGATTTGGCACCAGAATGATTTGGTATGGGCTGGTCGAGAACGAGCTGGTAAATTAGCTTTTCTTGCCTCTATTTCTCAGTGTTGTTTCTGGTTTTACGTGACAAACATACACACACACACACACACACACACACACACACACACACACACACACAACATACACGCACACACACATATATATACACCCATTAAGTATATTTGAGTATGTGTAGGTGTGTGTGTGTGTGTCAGCGTGCTTGTCTGTCCATCTGTCTATCTATCTGTCTGTCTGCCTGCCTCTCTGTTCATCTGTCCTTCAGTCTGTCTACCTACCTACTTCCCTGCCTACCTCCCTCCATCCCTGTTCACCTGAACCTACCTACCTACAACTTCCTGCCTACCTACCTACCTACCAACTTCCCTGCCTACCTACCTACCTACCACTTCCCTGCCTACCTACCCTCTAATTGTAATATATCCGCACACACAAACGCGTGAAACATCAAGGAAAAAAGGTCATTAATTCCTTCGCTTCCTCTAAAACAAGAAACCTTAAATCCAGCCAACTTTCAACGAGATATTATCTGCGCGATGAACACTTTCTTTCCAAACTGCTAGTTCAACAGGAAGGTCACGAGAACCCTTAATTACCCGACTCTATTTTGATCAAGAAGGAACTAAGATAACCTTGAATGTGAAAGACGACGGAGAGAGCGAAAGAAATAAATTATTCTTGTTAATGGGTGGAAAATTCGTTACTACCTTGGTGTTCTTTATTCTTTTTTAAATGAAGATGGTTTTTATTTTCTTCTCTATCTTCCTCTTCTTCTTGATGTGTTTATTCTTCCTCAACCTTTGTGTTTATCATTTTTCTATTTCTGCATTTTCTTTTTTCTTCTCTTCTCCTCTTTGCCTTTTCTTTGTTGTAGTCCTCATCTTTTTCTTTTTTCTTTTACCTTTCCTGCAACCTCTTTAATTTTATGTTTTTCTTTCTTCCTTTCCCATTTCTTCTCTTTTTAACTCCTACTACATATTTATCCTTCTCTTCTTTGTATTCGTCCACCACATCTCCCTTTCCACCTCATTCACCTTCAATTTTCTCTCCTTTCCCTTCCACTTCCCATCCTCTTCCTTCTCCTCCCCTCCACCTTCCTCCTCCTGCTCCTCTCCCTCCCCCTTCTTTTTCTTCTTATCCTCCTCCTCTCCCTCCCCCTTGTTCTTTTTTTTTCTTCTCCTCCTCCTCCATCTCCTCATACCTTATTTTATCAGTTTTAGTTTTTTTTTGTTTAACATCTATAATCCCATCAACTGAAACCAAATACCTGTTGATAAATGTTCACAGCTATACCTGCAATACGCAATGGGCTCTTTGAAATGACAAAGAGCCTGGTCTGTACAACTTTTTTTTTATTGTAAGAGAAGCTTTGCACAACTTTTCGATAGAATAAACTTGTTCAGTACCAGAGCCCCTCCTCCCCTTCCCCCCCCCCCCACTACATTCCTTGGACGTTCCTACACGAAATATCAGACTCTGCGCGCTGATTCCTTAAAATAGGGTTAAATTCGCTGTACCACACGTGACTGATAACGAGAGAGAGAGACAGAAAGAACACTTTAAAGGGAAACAATCAGAAATAACGTCCTTTACCTAAACCCCAGATATGACGCTATATATAATGTCGGACTGATGACATTAATTGTTCTGGTATGTCCGCCTAATGAGATGTTGGATAGCGTTGCTTGAATAAAAAAATGTCTCCTTTTACTCAGCAAGTCATCGAAAATATATAATCACAAATATATATATACAGATGTATATGTCCCCACTTACAGGACATGCTATGTGGGTATAGAGATATAGATCATTAGAAAGAATTATAGACTGGTATAAAAATAGTTATATGTAGAAGGATATACCGTAAAAAAGATAACAGGATAGATGTATCTAAAAGACTACGAAGTTGAACACCCTAAACGATTAAACTGCTTATTTTTCTTTTCTTTACATATTTTTCTCTTTTAATTCTTCGTGTAACTTGATTCCGTATGGTGAGAATAACCCTTGTGGTTTTCCCTTAAAATTTATAATATTTGACAAAATTTAGGATGATCTGTATGTATCTAATCGACGTTCTCTGGAGCACAATCACGCCATAGTAATAATTTCAAGTCTCTAAAATGCTTTCCGAAACATACGCAACTCACAATGAAAAAACAACAACCTGCGTATTATTCCACAACAACAAGAACCACGAACCTCTAAGCCACAGCGGGACAACACAAACACAAGCCAGAACGCAGACGAGTGCACTGGTCTTGTGTCCTTCGGTACATTATAAGCTCACCTGGGTTCTTCCAG